AAAACAAAAAAATTGTGTCCTCGTGGTCATTAAAAATATCAGTACTGTTTATAAATATCAAAAGGCTATTGCACAAAACGTCGTCCATTAAAAACCATTTACATTTTTAAAGACAGTGTTAGTGACGAGCGTATTGATTCCCCCCCCCCCCCTTCCCCCCTAAGAAATTACGAGCGTCGTATTATATTTTGTATATCCATGTGTAACTTCAGCAGCATATAACGAATCTTCAAACAAGCCGGCGGCAACTTTCCACCGCTGCTGCATTCATGGGCAAGTTGCTCCTGACGTGACAGCTGTTCAGCTCAATGGGCCTTGCCTGCCTCAATTAGGGCCCTGTTACTGAGGGGACAATTCAAATCGTCGCTTTGAAGATATTACATGAAAACTGAGCAAAAAAGCTTGGTCCTCTGCGGACGATGACACTATTATTGCACAAGCACCACAAGTACCACTTGCCTATGCCGTCTTTTAATTGTGTGCGTTATATGTTATACATATTATTCAATTTCCTAGAAGGCTAATCAGTAGACCTGTACTGTACAGTAATATTACAAAACGACAAAATCACCCTGAATGTGCCCGATCATGTCTGATCTCCGAAGCTAAGTTGCTTTGAGCCTGGTTAGTACCTGGATTGGAGACTACCTGGGTGTTGTAGACTTGCACTGGGAGGTGGTCATTCCAGAAATGGGTTCTTTAATAGATCTGTGCAAAGTTCTGAACACAGTGTGCAGCAGAGCTTTGAGGATGTTGAGTGTTAGTGCAGAGGCTTACACAACGTACTATGAAACCGACAACTTAAGTTAAATTCCTGTCTGTCGCTAACATAATTAGCACGGTTGCCTACATGCGGTGTGAAAGAAGTTCAGCTTATAAACATACATAATGTGCAGAGCTTTCTACGTGGACTTCTATGGGTACTCTGGTATTCTTTCTTAGCCCGATGTATGAGCGTTTTGATGAGAGAACATTTCTGTGCGGGGTGATGGTGTGACTCTGCATTCAGATACGCGTCATTGTGCATTTTCTTTCGGTAAACACAAGTGGCGATCTATCCCTCTATTTAGAAAACAGGAGGATTTCTCTACAAATCTGGCTGTCACGCTGATGATGCGAGTGTTAATTACTGGCAAAACGGCGTACTCAGATTGTAAATGTTGTGGCTTTGCTCTCCAACACACCGGTGTGCTGCACTAGTAACGAATTGGCCACGTTCTGTTTACGTGACAACCCTTACTAGTTGGCTGTGTCGGGTGGTGGCGGATTTAACGACACATTTATATATTTACGCGATCTAACCCCAAAAAAGCTGTATTATACTATTCAATATGTTAACCTGTCAGTTGCAAGTATTGGTCATTGTAGGTATTACAATCACTTTTACAAATTTCCAGGATAAAATCAATAAAAGGTAATCATGGCCGATATATTTGAGTTGATGGAGGGAAGTGGGATGTGTTTAGCACAGTGCTATTAAGCTAGCAACCTGAGTTTGATTCCTGGCCATGACTAACATGAACGTGAATGATAACTCAACTGGTCTTGGGCCTATATATATATGATTGTCACCTCTGAGATACAACAAAAACCCGAACATTTTACGTGAAGAAAATATCGCAACACTGGAAGAGTCGAGCGCACTGCATGTAAATGTGCCGTCTTGAGCGGCATAATTTTATGCAACTGACAAAAATTGAGAATTTAAATATCCTGGGAAGACTTCAGGACTGCAACTACCTCTACATGAAGATTTCCTGGAAGAAGAAAAAAATACCAGGGCAGGTCACAAACCTTTCTTAGGTCCCCTCAAGACGAGTTAACCAAACCATACTGACAAGCGTGGTTGAATATGGTAGGTAAAAAAAGAAACACTCCTATTACCAACACAGTGACTAGAAAAACACATTTCTGTTGTTCAGATGTATTCCGCGCGATGAAACCAATGGGCTGTCACATTAATAATGAGCGTGAAATTGGACCAAAATGATAAATTAAGAAAGGAAATGACGTTTATTTTGTCACTCAGCTTCTTTCACAATTCCCAACGCCTTGCTTTGATTTTTGTTTTCCCCAAAGGCAAATTAGCGCCCAATAGGACGTAATTTTTGGTCTCTTATATTTCCTTTCAACAATCATGAGACTCAGTTAAGACTGAGCACTCCGTCGTGCAGACACAGGTAACTATAGATACGTAATTAGTGTGCTGCTGCAGTTAGGAGTAAGTTTCTAATTTTTCATTTGGGACACAATTAGCAGGGATAATACAATTAATCCACCCCATGTCGTACAAAAAAAATATTATGTATTTTGATTATAGTGCGTTGCTACTGCTATTGTTAATCCGGCTGTTATGGATTGACTTATGCAGCTAGCGAAGGATGCTAGGTTTAGTGATGTGTGTTGTGTGTGTCGCTATTGTAAACTTTTAATCACATTTGTTGGGAAAACTGTTACGTTGTTTATATAGCATTGTTTTAGTAAGTTTTAGAGGGGCTTCGTTTGGCCCGATTTATTTTTATTTACTATACAGTAGATTTATAATTTGATTTTAAGTTTTTGTGACTGCAAGTCACGTGACTTTACCGAAAGAACCAAGATTATAGATTTATACTTACAATTTATTGTATTATAATTGTTATTGGGATCAAACATCGAAATGGAATTTTTTGCACTTTTTGTACGCAGCATGGACGGGTGGTGCTTTTTCTGTAGGATTTTATTGTTTATGTATGTGATGTTTAGATTTGTGTACAATTAATTTTAGGTGTATCTTGTGATTTTATTGTTTGTTGCGGTTGCAACCATCTGTGATAGAAAAACTTGAGATGTACCAAGATCTTCAAATTGATCATGAAAGTTAATTAAGCAAATCACATTTCTGAAGTAACTATTTATGCCCCCATACTGTAATGCACATTTTATTCGCCAAAATAAGCTTGAGGACATCTGACTTACTTGCCAGCAGCAGGAATAGTGACTATTCGTGGTGATGATTCCTAAATATGACGAAACCAGTGCACAGTTGTCTATCACTGCTATCGCTGATGCTGTCAAGTCGGTCACGCTTTGTTAAAATGTATGTTGATGGTCGTAGGAGACAAGGGGAGCAAAATTCACTTCTTTAGGAGACCCTGCTGGTGTTTCCATCATGGACAACGCGGCTGTGAGATATTTACACGTTCTTCTTGGTTCTTTCGGTAAAGTCACGTAGAAAGGAAATACAATAATAAAACATAATAAAATACAATGCTCACGACGTTTCGGCCACAACACAAGTAGCCTTCCTCAGGTGTTTAGTCACTAAAGCGCTGTCTTCCCGACAGTTCTGTTTCTTCACCTGAGGAAGGCTACTTGTGTTGTGGCCGAAACGTCGTGAGAATTTTATTGTCTTATTTTGTTTCATTTTGATTATATTTCCATTCTACGTGACTTTACCGAAAGAACCAAGAAGATGAATCCCTGCAGTCACGAAAGCTTTAAATCGAAATTTATATTTACACGTTGTTGCGTCTTGTTCGAAACTTGTGGCTTTCCAAGCCCGCGCTATATTTCATTATTTACAGATTTTGATTGAAGTCTCAAAACCAGAACTGTAATATAACGAGGTCTTTAATGTCCATTTTTTTATGCAACAGGGTCTGTGCTTGGGAAATTCTCAGAATAAAATTATCCGGTAACTCTGGTGAGAAACAACTTAAGTTTAACATGTAGGCTTTTGCAACCAATACTAACCATCATCGAGGTTTTTTTTGGGTTAGATCGTGTAAATATAAATGCGTCGTTAAACCCGCCACCACCCGACACAGCCGATTAGTAAGGTTTGTCACGTATACAGAACGTGCCAATTCGTTACTAGTACAGCACACCGTTTGTGTGTTGGAAATTAAACCCACAACATTCATGGCTTTCGCCTGATGAGGCTGGTTGTAATTACCTGCGAAACGTCTCGAATTGTAAATGTTGTGGTGGGTATTACTCTCCAACACGCCCGTGTGCTTAACTAGTAACTAATTGGCATGTTTTATTTACGTGACAAACCTTTACTAATTGGCTGTGTCCGGTGGTGGTGGGTTTAACAACACATTTATATTTACGTAACCCCACCCCTCTATTCTGGAGAAATGAACTGTTCATTAATTCCAGATGGTTCAGCATTCAGGAGGGGAAGTTCACCATGACCTGTCCATGCGTTCAGTTCTACCTCGTGTGTAACTTACAGGGAGGGTGTGGTCCAGATGTCCTGTGACCCCCCCACCCCTATTTAATTATCATTTTTGAAAATATTATTTTAAAGTAAGATTGTTTTAAAACAGAAATTAATATACAAAGTCAAAAACAAATGTGAGAATCAATTAATTGTGGGGGGGGGGGGGGGGGGTCACAAGACATCTGGACCACGTTGTGTATAACGGAGCCTTCTGGGGGGCGGCAACAAGGCGCAGCCCTGCAATTGCTCACTCGCGCCCCTGCTGGTGGAAAGGGGCATCCACTAGAGGGTACATTGGTCTACTCTTCTACGCGACCAGATAGCCGCCTTGGGAAGAAATGAGGGTTTCGGGATTTGACGCCGCTCCTTCATCGGCCGCATCATCTGCTTCATCGGTGTGTTGTGTTGCGAATGATTGTTGTGCATTTGAATAAGGGCAATTTTCGCATAAAAAACGTTTTGCTTTATTATAAACATATTTTATACATTTAAGGCCGCAGTATTTATCGACGGATGTGTTGGGTGAATTTTTTTTTGTATTATTGTATTACGGCCACTGTTGTATTTTTTTTCTTTCACGAAACGCGATCTCGCCGCTCTGCGGCTCCCGTAGCGGGCTTCGCTCTTGAATCGCAGAGACGCCTCTCGCAAATACCCTACAACGGATTAGCATAGAGGGGTCTACCCCACTCTGTGATTGGTCAAAGCCGACCACGTGGAGGTGGCAGCGCGGCGCCCGATTGGCTCGTTGCGCTCCCCCCCGTCCGTTCCCGCGCTTTTTGCTAAACCGCGTGGGAAATGTAAAACGTGTTGCGCCCCGCCCCCACCGCTCAAAGCCAAACGGGAAATTAGAGCAAAGTTTCACGATTTGTACAATTAGCGTTAAAACATTTAAACATTTTATTTTATCCCCCCCCCCTCTCTCTCCAAACCGTACTACCCGAAGGTGTTTTACAAACCGGTGAAGAGAAGCGTGTACTTTGTGCACCCAGTATGTGTTAAACCTTAGGCTCCTCGTCTTGCGATTGACTGGCGGTGAATGAATTGTAAACACAATTTTCCTCGTGGAAGATTTAAAGAAGCGGGCTTTTACAATGGGCGACGCGTAAGTTACTCTCGTTACCGTCGACGCTCACGATTTCTCTCCACCGCCTCAAGGCCTCCCACGAGTCGTTGCCACGATCTCTGGCCCTCGATAGTGCAGCAATTCCACAGCTCGCTCATACCACGAGACTGACCTCGCTCCTCATACCACGAGACTGACCTCGCTCCTCATACCACGAGACTGACCTCGCTCCTCATACCACGAGACTGACCTCGCTCCTCGTACCACGAGACTGACCTCGCTCCTCGTACCACGAGACTGACCTCGCTTCACGTACCACGGGACTGACCTCGCTCCTCATACCACGAGACTGACCTCGTTCCTCATACCACGGGACTGACCTCGCTCCTCATACCACGGGACTGACCTCGCTCCTCATACCACGAGACTGACCTCGCTCCTCGTACCACGAGACTGACCTCGCTCCTCATACCACGAGACTGACCTCGCTTCACGTACCACGGGACTGTCCTCGCTCCTCATACCACGAGACTGACCTCGCTCCTCATACCACGAGACTGACCTCGCTTCACGTACCACGGGACTGTCCTCGCTCCTCATACCACGAGACTGACCTCGCTCCTCGTACCACGAGACTGACCTCGCTCCTCGTACCACGAGACTGACCTCGCTCCTCATACCACGAGACTGACCTCGCTCCTCATACCACGGGACTGACCTCGCTCCTCGTACCACGGGACTGATCTCGCGCTCCATCTCCAGATGTTGTACATAATTTTTAGGGCGGGCAAGCTTTCTAGGTCCCATCGGTCTCGGAGTGCAATGCGCTCACCGCTTCGCTTATTCCGCTCCACACCATTGTATATATACACAGTAAAAATAACAATAGCTGCATTTAATTGAAGCGTGTTCGATGTTATATTTTGTTGTTTGCTGTTTCCCTTCTCTTATCTTCCTATTTTAACGCATTATATATAGGTGCCTTATCCAAGGCGCTTTACAAAGAATTAACAGCGGTACAACAACACATGAATGCAATGGTGCAAATGAGGTGAATGAAATTTATGAGAGGAAGCAATGGGGGGCAAATCTGTGATACGTGAATTCGGTGAAAGTGAAATTTATGACAGTAAATGACGAATGAATTGCATGAATGAATGGGGTTAATGAGTGAAAGCTGTGTAATGAGAATATTAAGAGGGAACAGCGACGGTGGTGGTTATGAGGGGGGAGATTAAGGGGTCGTGGGGTGAGCAAGGGAACAACGCGTGTGAGTTGTGAGGAGCGGAAGCTTAGTGAGCGAAGGTGACCGCTTAATGCGGAGGGGGATGTTTGTTCCAGTGAAGGGGGGTGGACGAGAAAGAGAAAGCGCAAGGAGAAGGAACAGATAGAGAGCGAAACAGCAAAGATTGAGAACGTAGTTAGGCGAGAAGGCACATCAACTCTTTTCACAATGCACTCACGATGTCCCCCAACCCACCCCTCTCCCCTCCCTCGTAGAAATGAAGAGGACACGTTTAAAATATTGATTGCCACCGACATCCACTTGGGATACATGGAGAAGGATGCAGTGCGTGGCAATGACACGTTTGTGACGTTCGACGAAATCATGGAGATCGCGCAGTCAAAGGACGTACGTAAACCCCTCGGCCCTCCCAGCTTCTACTTGTGCCACAAACAAACGCCGAATCCCTCACAGGGCCGGATTAAGGTTCTCGTAGACCCTAGGCACTTGTGTTTCGCAGGCCTCCAGTGATAACTTTCTACAGCTGGTACTGCTGCTGCTGCCCCGTGTTACGACTACCGTCGCTGTCACTGGATTGTTCCACGCGTACTTCGCCCGTAGGACAACGACGCCGCTTTGTCTTCCCTTGCACTCCCAGTTGAGAATGGGATTGTGCGAAAAATACTATTTGAACATGTTTTTGCTAATTTTGCAATGACAAAAAAAATCTCTAAAAGTTAATCTCCGGTGTTAAAACACGATTGCCCTGACTCTACCTCTTTGTATATACACTGTGCCGATCCTTGCTATACAAATATATTTATTCAAGCAGATATCTTAGTTAAAAATGTTTTGTTATCAAACAAAAAAAATATGGTCACCTTTTTTTTCATAGGCCCTACGCGCAATGTCTACTGTGGTCTATTGGATAATCCGGCCCTGCCTGCCCTCCACCACCTCACGCGTAATTACGAGCGTTCACCTAGGGAAACCCTTCAACTTAATAAGTGTCATGACTTGAATTACAGTTCACTCTCGATTATCCGTGTGCGGTTTAATCTGGTTTGCGGGTTAACCGTACACCTGAGATATTGACATAAATTAATAAATTTTGATTTAAAGCTTTCGTGACTGCAGTAATTCATATTCTTAGTTTTTTCGGTAAAGTCACGTTGAAGAGAAACAACAAAATAACAAAATATATAAAACAATAAAAAATTCTCACGACGTTTCGACCATAACTCAAACGGTCATCATCAGGTGATGATGACCATCAGGTGATGATGACCGTTTGAGTTATGGTCGAAACGTCGTGAGAATTTTTTATTGTTTTATATATTTTGTTATTTTGTTGTTTCTCTTCAACGTGACTTTACCGAAAAAACTAAGAATATAAATTAATAACCCGTGGATTTTTCCCTTAGACCCAAATTAATAATCTAAAAAGCAGTTATACATTGCTATTCATAGAAATGTTCATGACAAGTCACGTGCTTAAACGGAACAAATATGCTGGTCCGGTTAATCCGAAATCTACGTGATCACCTCTACAGTACAGTAGTTGCATATCTTTACAACAGTGGGCGGAGTTTGATTGATTTTGATTGGCGTGGCTCTGCGTTCTACTTAATGGGCGCGAGTCTTCTGCGCGGGAGCAAGAAAGTGTTGTCACGTAGAGATCTGCGTAAAATGCATATTTTTGGATTATCCGCGATTTGGAATTATCCGCGGTCGCCTTCCCCATTATTAGCGCTAATAATCGAAAGTCTACTGTACTCAAATTTGGTTTAGAATTAATTGGTATTTAAAGGTGTTTCGGTTATAAACCACCTCTTGAGTGTATGGGATTTGTGGAAGAGATGGAGCGAACGTTCGTAAGGCGTTTTTTATAACATGGTGAGAGCCCATTTGTACAGATGCCGCCATGACTCTGCCTCAAGTAACCTCAGTTTAAAACGTAATATGCTTTTGCGACCAATATTATCCATAATAGAGGTGTTTTTTTGGGTTAAATCGCGTAAATATAAATGTCGTTAAACCTGCCATCACCCGACAGCCAATTACTAAGGTTTTTCACATAAAGAAAACATTCCATTTCATTACTACTTCAGCACACCGTTGTGTTGGAGAGTACATTTACAATTCGAGTAAGACGTTTCGTCGGTGATTACAACCAGCCTCATAAGCCGGCAGCCAGAGTTTTGGGGAAATCCTCTTTCGGTCTTTAGTAACCTCACATTACATTTCAGAGTTGAGAAATGTCGAGTCGGGTCAGCTGCATCAGAGGTCAAGAGCTCAGGCCTGGCACCGTTGAGATTCTGGGTTTCTGTCCAACATAGCCATGTGATTAATAAGCGGTTCTCAAGCAAAGTGGAATGGATGGTCTCGGCCTGTTTGTCAATGACTATTGCATGCAACAAAAACTTGCATAAAATTTGTTTTGGTGCATAATTAAAGTCATGAGTTTGACTCGTGGGATAAAATTTGGCCAAACGAACATTCTTTAAAATGTTTAGATGTGGCTATAATGTATTTCGACTTAAACATCCGGATTGATTTTGAGTTGAGGGTGTGGTTCACCTCTAAATGTTGCAATTGTTTTTTGTAGCTAGTTTAATGAGATTTAGGATATACATAGATTGAGAATCAGTCCGGTTATTATTGGGTTATTATATCACCACCTCACATAAAAGATACACTCATCTCTAATCCTTACGTGTAGAGTTTGACGGCATTCAGACATTACAAAGATATCTTCATGGGCTTCCAAGGGAGCTTGAAGATAAGTTAAATAAACTCCTTAAAACAAGTTTTTTTTAAAACAACGGTTTTATTAACAACTTCGTTCAACTCACGGTCGAGAAGTACGTCAATGATGCGGCGCCTGCTCCCACATCAACGCTTACTTGAATAAATGTATTAGTTCCGTAGCTCGTTGACATGGAGTAGGCGCGCCTGAGACACGTGGCGCCTGCTTCTTGGGCGAGGCGATTCCAGAGTTTAGGGACCGCGGCGTTTTTGACCTATCCAAATAAATATTTAATTAATAAGCCGTCCATACAAAATGTTAATTGCTTTAAAAGAGCCAATTAATTTATTCATTGATGCCGATTTTGATACAGGCATGCATTGTCACCGGGTCTGAATACGTGTGCAAAATTTGGAATTGATTGGAAAACAGGAACTAGACAAAAACAATTATTACAAGATTTGACCATGGAATCAAGTTAAGTGAAACCTAGATTTAAAGCTTTTGTGACTGCACGGATTAATATTCTTTGGCTTTTCGGTAAAGTCACGTAGGTAACATAGGTCCCAGTGCCTGACACCATAACAATAATTGAAGATTTGGTCCAACATGGACTGAACCCTGATGTACCTGCGCTGGTTAGGCACTGCCTCACCAACACTTACTTAACCTGGAATGGTACCTTCTACAAACACAATGAGGGTACCCATAGAGGTTCCCCCTTGTCACCAGTGATAGCCAATGTTTTCATGGAGAAATTTGAATCAGATGCCATCCAGACATCCACCCTTCCTCCTTCCCTATGGAAGAGATATGTGGATGACACTTTTGTCATTTGGCCACATGGCCTCCCAGCATTGAACCATTTCCTAGACCACATCAATTCCAGACACCCATCGATCAAATTCACCATGGAAGTGGAGAAAGATGGCAAGCTGCCATTCTTGGATGTTCTGTTTGGGAGGAGGACTGATGGCTCTTTGGGACATTCTGTTTACAGGAAGTCCACCCACACATACTCCTACTTGAAACCTGATTCCCACCACCACCCGGCTCAAAAGAATTCTGACCAACACCACCTGGCCAGTGAATTAAAACATGTACATCTGACCCTCAAGATGAACGGATACTCTGACCGTACTATCCGCCAAGCTGTTTCTCCCACCATACAGAAACAACCACCTGATACTCCGATCAAAATCATCACGTTACCATACATAGCAGGCGTTACCAAAAAAAAATCCAAAATTCTAAACAAACACAATTTCCAGGTCCGGTTCAATATAGTACACAAAATCCGTGATCTGATCCCATCCATAAAGGATGTCATTCCTGACTTAACAGTACCCCGGTGTTTACAAATTGAGTTGTACCTGCGGTGACTGCTATATCGGGGAGACGAAACAACATTTCTGACCTAATTCGCGAGCACAAATCAGATTTGAAACACGGCAGAACGAATTCTTCGGCCGTGGCTGATCATTGTTTCCACACAGCGGGTTCCCATGACATTGTTTTCTCCGATACCAAAGTGCTCTGTAAACCTCCCGGTTATTACCAAAGATTTGTCCATTAAGCCATCCAGATATACAAACATAGACACAACTTCAACCGAGAGGATGGTTTTAAATTGAGCAACCATCGGAAAGATGTTATAAACCAAGTCAAACTTTAGCTGCCTTATAATTGTACAGCCATTTCCATTGCTTTCAGTGGGTTGTATGTACACGCGCATCTCTTCCCCCGAACCCCCTGCAGCATTACAAAAGGCGGCTTAACTTAGCCATCCCCCCACCCATGTCCCTTCCTGGCTCCTCCCCCCCCCTTAACCTGTATATAATCTCGGGTGTCTCAGAGCTCTTCACTTGATACAGCTATTCTGCTGTGACTGTTCCACCTGAAGACGGAAGCTTGTGTTGCCTCCGAAACGTCGTGATTTAATTTAGTTGTTTTCATTTTATGTTACCTACGTGACTTTACCGAAAAACCAAAGAATATTAAGTGAAACCGTTTGAAAAAAAAATTTGTGGATTGCCGTCAGAACCAGCTGAGTTAGAGGGATTTAATGAGGCAGTTGCATTTTCAACTTATAAATGAATGAAAGTTAATCACAGTCAGTTTATGCTATAAGGATTCAGGTGAGATAATTTCAGGGGTTTGGCTTGTTTGCCAAGTAGCCCAATCACAAATGTAGCCAGAATCGCTGATAAACCAAAAAAAATGCACACATTAAATTACGAGCTTCATTTGTGTGAACCTATTTCATACTGATATAATTTGCCGATGATCGCCTGATTATGCTGGATGTAATTACCAGCGAAACATCGTATTCAAATTGTAAATGTTGTGTGTTTACTCTCTAACACACCGGTGGGCTGAAGTAGTAACTCATTGGCGCGTTGTTTACGTGACAAACCTTACTGGCTGTGTCGGGTGGTGGAGGGTTATGACACATTTATACTTACGCGATCTAACCCAAAAAACCTTTATTATGAATAATATTTCTATACATTCATGCACACAAATGTTTAAATACGTTATACACATACAATGCACACAAATCGACTGTTGGTACAAGTGCTGTTTAAAAGCACGTGCTTATGCCTGAAAGAATCGGTAACTTTATTTATCCTGGAGTCCGATGAGCTATGAAGGCGTT